GTGCGGAGATGCAGGGGGACACATGAGGGGACATGGGGATGTGTGAAGGGACACAGGGAGTTGCAGAGGGGACACGGGGATATGGGGTGACACAGGAACATGGGGATGCAGTGGAGATGGGGCACAGGGGGACATGGGGGGTTGCAGGAGGTTGTGAGAACACACGGGGAGATATGGGGACATGAAGAGACATGGGGGCGTGCATGGGGTTGTGGGAACAGACGGAGAGACATGGGGACAGAGGGGACAAGGGGGATGACAGGACACGAGGGGATATGGGTGGGTTGCAGGGGAGACGTGGGTGGGACCCAGGGGGATGCAGGGGGACACAGGGACATGAAGGGGCTCACAGAGGCTGCAGGGGGACACGGGAAGGACACAGAGGATGTGGGGGACACGGGGACAGGCGTGTCTCACCCGTGGTGTCTCGGCAGCGGCGCCTACTCGCTGACGCTGCGGGACCTGGCGGTGCAGGCGCTGGGGCTCCGCGCCCTGCAGGAGATCAGCAGCGGCATGGTGCTGGTGCACCACAACCCCCAGCTCTGCTTCCTCCAGAAGGTGCCCTGGCACAGCATCTTCCGCAACCCCCGCCAGCGCCTCTTCCAGACCCACAACAAGCCCCCCGAGCAGTGCGGTAAGAGGGGCCCACGGGGGTGGGGGGAGATGGTGACCCCCCCCATTGCTGACAAACCCCTGGTGCTGATGATGTCCCCCCCTGCAGAGAGCGAGGGGCTGGTTTGCTTCCACCTCTGTGCCCAGGGGCACTGCTGGGGTCCCGGCCCCACCCAGTGCGTGGCCTGCGAGCGGTTCCTGCGCGGCCAGGAGTGCGTGGCCTCCTGCAACCTCCTGGATGGGTGAGTGGAGACCCTTGGGAGTGGCAAACAGAGTCCCTACACACGCTGCAGGGTAGGGCTGGGACCCCATCCCTGCCCCTTTGCCCTGCAGAGCCGTCCGGGAACACGCCAACGGGACGCGGTGCCTGCCGTGCCACCCCGAGTGCCAGCCCCAGAACGGCACCGAGACCTGCTTCGGATCGGTGAGGGCAGGGACACGCACTGGCTGGGGTGGGGGTGCCCCCAGACACCTGGGTCCCTCAACCTGCCCCTGTTCCTGCAGGATCCAGACCAGTGCGTGGCCTGTGCCCACTACAAGGACGCTCAGCAGTGCGTGCGGCGCTGCCCCAGCGGCGTCAAGGCCGACGCCTCCTTCGTGCCCGTCTGGAAATACCCGGACGAATTTGGCGTGTGCCAGCTCTGCCCCACCAACTGCACCCACTCGTGAGTTGGGGGTCCCTAGCTGAGGAGGGGGTGGCCAGGAGGTGCTGGCAGCTGCACGGGGCTGCTGACAGCAGGGGGCTACACCTGTGTCCCCAGGTGCACGATCCGGGATGAGGACGGATGTCCCGTGGACCAGAAGCCGAGGTAGGGATGTGGCTGTGGCTGTGTCGTGCCACCGCCACTCTGGGTGCTGGGGGTCCCCCACACTGATGGGGACGCACTGATGGCCTCTTGGCACGCAGCCAGGTGACGTCCATCATCGCTGGCGTGGTGGGGGCTCTGCTGGTCATCGTCCTGCTCCTCATCACCGTCATCTGCGTCAAGCGCCGGCGGCAGCAGGAGCGCAAGCACACGATGCGGCGGCTGCTGCAGGAGACCGAGGTGGGGATCTCCCGGGGGGCAGGAGTGGACCCTCGGTGCCTGGGAGGGATCAGGACCCCAGCCCTCCTCACCCTTCCATGCCCCACAGCTGGTGGAGCCACTGACGCCCAGCGGGGCCCTGCCCAACCAAGCCCAGATGAGGATCCTCAAGGAGACGGAGCTCAAGAAAGTGAAAGTTTTGGGTTCTGGTGCTTTTGGCACTGTCTATAAGGTGAGGAGTGGGGACAGCACAGCAGGACGTGACCCTCCCTGCTCTGCATCCCCTCACCTGCTTGTCCCCACCTCAGGGCATCTGGATCCCCGATGGGGAGAGCGTGAAGATCCCGGTGGCCATCAAAGTCTTGCGGGAGAACACATCACCCAAAGCCAACAAGGAGATCCTGGATGTGAGTGTGGCCCTGACACTGGGGGGAACAGGGCTGGCAGCAGCCCCTGCCCACCCTGACCCCCTCTCCTGCCCACAGGAGGCCTATGTGATGGCAGGGGTGGGCAGCCCCTACGTGTCCCGTCTGCTGGGCATCTGCCTGACCTCCACGGTGCAGCTGGTGACGCAGCTGATGCCCTACGGCTGCCTCCTGGACTACGTGCGGGAGAACAAGGACCACATCGGCTCCCAGGACCTGCTCAACTGGTGTGTGCAGATCGCCAAGGTAGGACAGGGGACCTGGGCACCTCTGGGGGGGTCCTGAGAGAGACCAGGGACAGCTGGACATGTGTCACCTCCAGGGGATGAGTTACCTGGAAGAGGTGAGGCTGGTGCACCGGGATTTGGCCGCTCGCAATGTCCTTGTCAAGAGCCCCAACCACGTCAAGATCACTGACTTTGGGCTGGCCCGGCTCCTCGACATCGACGAGACCGAGTACCACGCTGATGGTGGCAAGGTAGGGCTTGGGGACTCAGGGACAGTGCTGCTCCCCTAGGTGACAGCCACCCCTGGTCCTGCTCACCTCTCCATCTGCCCTGTCCCAGGTTCCCATCAAGTGGATGGCGCTGGAGTCCATCCTCCGCCGACGCTTCACGCACCAGAGCGATGTCTGGAGTTACGGTGCGTCAGGGTGTCCCTGCCTCAGGGGACTTGGGGGGTCCCAATGCACTGCTCACCCCTATTCCTGTCCCTTCCAGGTGTCACCGTGTGGGAGCTGATGACGTTTGGGGCAAAGCCATACGATGGGATCCCTGCCCGGGAGATCCCGGACCTGCTGGAGAAGGGCGAGCGGCTGCCGCAGCCGCCCATCTGCACCATCGACGTCTACATGATCATGGTGAAATGTACGGGGAGGAGACACAGGGACAGGGAGGGGACAGGGCGTGGTGTCACCCTGCTCCTGGCCCTGATGGCACCCGGCTCTGCTGCAGGCTGGATGATTGACTCCGAGTGCCGGCCCAAGTTCCGGGAGCTGGTCACCGAGTTCTCCCGCATGGCCCGCGACCCCCAGCGCTTCGTGGTCATCCAGGTATGCAGGTTCCCAGGGTCCCGTCCCCTCGCTGGTGCCCTGGGGCAGACACTGACCAGTGTGACCCCCCCAGAACGACCTGGTGGGGCTGCCTGGCTCCATGGACAGCACCTTCTACCGGGCACTGCTGGATGAGGAGGACATGGACGACCTGGTGGACGCTGAGGAGTACCTGGTGCCTCACCACGGCTTCTTCAGCACCGACACCTCCACCACCTACCGCAGCCGCATCTCCTCCATGCGGGTACGTGGGGAGGGCTGGCAGGGAGCTCCCAGTGCTGGCACGGGCTGGGTGACCCCGTGCCACGTCTGGGATGGTCCTCGGGGTGGGCTCAAGTGCCCGACTCTGTGTCCTCTCCCACACCCAGAGCACGGCGGAGTCTCCAGCCAAGGTGGAAGAGGGAGAGGGCTTGGCCTCGTTCTCCTTCCCTGCCCAAGGCCTGGCAGAGGGGCCAGAGGGCCCTGTCCCAGAGGTGCCAGATGGGGACAAGGTGGCCCTGCAGAGCCCCCCGGGGCGGGAGCCTGGGACCCTGCCCCGGTACAGCGAGGATCCCACGGGGCTGACGGCCAAGGACGGAGAGGACCCTGAGTGCTTCACCGTCCCAGCCCCCCACAGCACCATGCCAGGTAGGAAGGGCATGGCCAGACCCTTGGGGAGGTGGTGGGGGGCACCTGCCTGTCCCATGACCCCTGGGGGGTCCCTAACATGTCACTCACCCTGCAGAGTACGTGAACCAGGCTGGGGAACGCCCGCCCCGTGCCCCCCCATCCCCGCCAGACAAGCCCAAGGGGCACCAGGGGAAGAACGGGCTCATCAAGGACCCCAAGAACTCCTTCCCAGGGCCCTTCGGCCACGCTGTGGAGAACCCCGAGTACCTGGCACCCCACGGCACCCCCACCCCTGGCCCCTTCAGCCAGGCCTTCGACAACCCCTACTACTGGAACCAGGACCCTGCCAAGGGTGGTGGCCCCGAGGGTGGCCCTGGCACGACGCCCACGGCCGAGAACCCCGAGTACCTCGGCCTGGCCGGCCCCGACGCCACGGCCGTGTAAGAGAGACCCCCCCCAACTTCACCAAGGCAGCTCAGGGAGGGACGAGCCACGGCCGTGGGGCTGGGGGTCCACCCCTCTGCCCGGGGGTGGCACCGCTCACGGAGGGCTGGGAGAGCCCAGGACGCTGTGGGACAGCGCGGCAGCGAAGAGTGGGGACAGAGGGGTCACCCTCGGTGGCACTGGGGACCCACAAGCTGCAGCAGCCCAGGGAGCTCGGAACCAGCACGGCCTGGAGGAGGACAGCCCCTCTGCCATCCCCCCACTCCAGGGCTGTCCCAGTGCCTGGGACACGTGGACTTGCACTGAGGGCAGCTGGACTGAGAGCAGTCCCGGCTGCTCCGGGATTCTCTGGGAGCACCGGGATGTATATTTGATAATTGTACATTGCTTGTTTTTTCTACTCTCGTGGTCTGTTTGGTTTCTCCTTCTCTGTCGGATCCAGCTCTGTCTCCCAAGGACCAACATGTCATATCCCTTCCCCCTTTCCCTTCTCTTTTTTCCCCTTTTTTCTTCCCCCTTTTCCCTCCTTTTTTCTTTCCCTTTCCCCTTCTTTCCCTTTTCCTTTTTTCCCCCTTTTTCCTTTCCCCTTTTCCCTCCTTTCCATTCTTTTTTCTGTCCTCTTTTCCCTTTCTCCATTCCCTTTTCTACTTCTTCTTCCCTCTTCCCTTCCTTTTCCCCTTTTCCTTCTCCCACTCCTCCTTTTTTCTTTATTCCCCTTCCCTTCCTCTCCCCTCTGCCACCCCTCCACCACTTGTCTGAAGGATAAAATCCCTGATCCCAGGCAGGCTCCAGGACCGTGTCCCACCCCCCATTCCCGAGGGACACCAGAGGAGCCACATTCTCCATCCTTTATTCCACCCAGGCCGTTGGGTTTATACACAGTATAGAATAAATAGGGGACCCCCCCTGCCCCGAGGCCAAGGGCAGGGACATTCCAGGCAGGAAGCAGGAGCTGGGAGCCTGGGAATGGGGAGGGGGGATGTGAACACACCTGTGGCTGTGGGGCCAGGCTGGGGTTCCCATGGCCAGCCCCTGCCCCGGATTAAACAGTGCCAGAGGGACTTTAATCATTAACAGAGCCCAGGCAAGTTACAGCCAGTGGATTCCCCTTGGAATTAACCTGCTGGGAGTTGCTCCAACGCTGGCCCCCCATTCATGGGAGACCCCCCAGATTCCTGGGGGGTCAGGGAGGGGAGAGGCCAGCACAGGGAAATGGGGATGCCAACCCTGTGCCCCTCAGGGAGGTGCAGCTGATGAGGGGGGGAAGGCAAAGGCAGGTGGGAGACCCCCCCCAACCCACAGCTCCACCCCACAGCAGGTCGGGCAGGGGACAGAGTGACCCCCCAGTGCCACCTGTGGGGGTCCCCAGGAGGCTCCTGAGCCCCCCCAGTGGTGCAGGGATTTAAGGAAAGCAACCATGGGCAGCGTGGGGGGACCCTGCTGTCCCTGGGGGGCTACAGGATGACGCAGGGGGGGCGGCTGTTGGTGATTTTCTCCAGGGGCTCCCCATTGCGGGCTCTGCGGATGGCCTCGATCAGCTGGGGAGACACGGAGGTGACAGGGACAAATCCCGGCCACGCCCCCTCTGTCCCCTCCCACTCCATCCCAGCAGGACCTGCAGGGGGTCCTGGCAGGGTGGCAGGAGGGGGAACAGCTCCAGAGGGTGACAAAACATCACAGGAGGGGCCCCCAGCCCACCCTGGCAGAGCCCGGGACCCCCGGTGGGTACTCACGTCCTTCTCGTAGGGAAAGCCCCCGTTCTCCAGCTTGGAGAAGACCAGCTGCCCGTTGATTTCAATCTCAAAGGCACCTGAGGGCACACACAAGGCTCAGTGTGTCCCCCCAAAACCCCCGGTGGCATCCCCAGCCCGTGCCCCCCTCCACGGCAGCACCGGGGGCTCTGCAGACCCCCAGCTCTGGGGCAGCAACCAGGCCACGACCCCCCCCTTGCTGGGTTTAACCCAGGCCAAACCCCCAGCAGGGCACTGGGGGGGGGCTGGGGTGCCCCCCCCGAGCTTCTGGGGGGTCTCACCAGTGCCCCCCAGGCGTGACTCGATCTCGATGTCGGGGTACTCGTCGCGCACGGCGCTCGCCAGCTCCTGGTACGTGGCCTCGAAGCCGCAGGGCTCGCTGGGGAGGGGGGAACAGCCTGAGGAGGGGGCACGGGGACCCCCCAAACCCTCCCCGAAATAAGGAACCTCCCCAGGCTGTCCCCCCACAAGAGCTCTGCTGCCTCCTGCACCCTCAGTTCCCAATGCTCCCCGCAGGAACCCTCCCAAAATCCCCAGACCCCCAAAACCCCCAGACCCCTGTACCCCAGAACCCCATATCACCTCCTCAGCCCCCCCAAATCCTGTATAAGCCCCTCCTCAGCCCTCCAATTCCCCTATAACCCCCCCACTACACCCCTCTCCTCAGCTCCCCAACCCCTAAGAGCCCCCCAAATCCTCTCCAACTCCTTCCTCAGCCCCCCAATTCCCCTATAGCCCCCCAATTCCCTCACTCTCAACCTCCCTACACCCCCCTCCTCAGCCCCCCAACCCCTCCACATCCCACTCAGCCTCTCCCTTGACGCCCCCAGTCCCCTCTGCGCCTGAACCCGCCGCATGCCTCACCCCAGTTCCCCCAGTTTGTGCTCCCGGTGCCCCGGTACCGCTGTGGGGTGCCCCGGTACCGCTGTGGGCCGCCTCACCCCGGGCGGTTCCCACCCCCGAAGGCCCCGGGTTCCCCACGGTTCATCCGCCCCCAGGCCGGCCGCGGCGCTCACCAATACTCCACCACGATGCGGACCCGCCGCTCGGCCCCAGCCCCGTTCCCGTCTCCGGTCTCGTTCCCGGTCCCGCTGCTCATGGCCCCCGGTGCCGCCGCGCCGCCGCTTCCGGGTGCGGTCACGTGAGGCGCCCACTTCCGGCCGCTCTGCACCGCAGCGCCGCTCGTCTCGTCTGCTCCGAGACCTCCGGGAGGCCCGCCGTGACCCCGGTGACCCCCGGGACACCCAAAATCACCCTGGGTGACCCAAAGTGACTTCCAGGACACCTCTAGTGACCTAAAGTGACTCCCCCTGGGGACCGAAACTCACCGTGTGTCACCTGCAGTGACCCCCGAGACACGCAAACCCCCCATGAGACGCACAATGACCTCAGTGACCCCCGTGTCACCCGTGGGACCCAAAATGACCTCCGGGGGACACTGAAAATGCCCCTCACAGGAGCTCTGTATTCTCATAGGAACCCCCACTGCTCTGTGGGACCCGCACCTAAACCCCTGTGGGGGTTCTGAAGGGCCTCGAACCCCCCCACAGACCACCAGGAACCCTCAGCATCCCCCACAGGGACCCCTGAACCCCTCCTTGGGGACATTTCTAGGGACTCCGTGACCCCACGGCACCCATTGTCCCTAGTGGAGACTCCCAGACCCCGTGTGGGGACACCCACAGGGGACACCCCCAAGGGACCCCACAGGACACACACAGAGCCCCAAAGGGACCCCACGTCCCTCTGTGTTCCCATATCCCAAATTCCACCCCCTGGAAGTGCCCCTGACCTGCATGAGACCCCCCCAACGCCATGGTCCCACCTGGCAGGGGTCCCTGAGGGGACAATGGGGACACCCCCCACCCGCCATGGGACCCTTCCAGCCTAACTTTGGGGGTCCCAGGGGAGCCCCAACCCCAAACCCCACACCCGGGGCCGTCCCAGGGTTGGGGCTCAGTGGGATCTGCACCCCCAGGGCGCCGCGGTGTCCCCGTGTCCCCCCACGCCCGGCTGCTCCAGGGGTCACCCCAGTGCATTGTGGGAAACTCCCCATCACCATCTCAGGGGGGTCGCGGCCGGTGGGTTTGGGGTGGGGGGGTTGGGCCGGGGTCGGGCTGGACACCCCCCCAGGGGTCGGGGGGGGCTGGGGGGCCCCTCAGGGTGTCGGTGGGGGGCCGGTGGCGGGCAGCAGGCCCGGGGCGCCGTGATGTCAGGCGGGGGCGGGAGCTGGCGCAGGTAGATAAAGCCGGGGAGAACAGGAATCCCTGGTCCGGCGGGACGGTGCCGGGACGCGGCGGGAGCTGCAGGTAGGAGCGGGGCCGGGCTGGGGGCTCCTGGGGCCGGGGGGAGGTCGCCGCTCATCGCGGGGTGTTGCTCCCATCCCGCCGGGAAGGACCCCGGAGCTCTCGCTGCGCCCGCTCCCCTCCCCTCCCTCCTTCCCGCCTTCCTCCCGCTCTTCCTCCTCCTCTGCCATCCCGCCGTGCCTCCTCTGCTGCCTCGGCGCCCCTGGGGAGCTCAGTCTCGGCACCCACCGGGACCCCCACCCACAGCTGGGACCCTGTTCCTTAATCCTGGTGGTCCCGGCACGCTGTCCCTTGTCCCGGTGTCCCTGGGGGTCCACTCCTCAGCCCAGGTGACCCTGTGATTTCATTCCTCAGCCCTGCTGGCCCTGGAATCCCATCCCCTCACCCTGCTGTCCCTGTGGTTCCATTCCTCAGCCCTGGTGTCCCTGGGATTCCATCCCCTCACCCTGCCAGCCCTGGGATCCTGTCCCTCAGCCCTGTCACCCTGGGACCCTCAATCTGGTGGCCCTGGACCCCCTGCTCCACAGCCCTGCTGGCCCTGGGGCCCATCCCGGTGGTCCTGACCCCCCTCCAGTCCCCCACCCCACAACCCTGATGGCCCCTGTGTCCTGTTTGTCCCCGGGACAGCCTGAGTGTCCCCACCCTGCCACTGCCACCAGGACAGGGCTCACACCGGGGTGACCTGAGGCCACGGGGGTGGTGCCAGGGTGGTGTCCCGCTCCCAGGGCCCTGTCTGTCACATCCCCCCGTGTCCCCTGCTGTGTCCCACCAGCAGCATCACCCTGCCTGACCCCTGGCTGTCCCCGTGTCTCCGGGGATGAGGGAGCGGGGATGGAGCAGTCCCAGTGGGATGCAGAGATGGGGACAGGGACACGACAGGGACAGGGATGGGGACGACATCAGCCCTGCCCAGCCATGGACTTGGACCCCGAGAGGTGGGGACAGGGACGGGCAGCAGCTCAATGATTAACGCGGCTCTTCCCGGTGTCCCGGTGTCCCGGGACCAGCGCCCGCGGCCACCGAGTGCCACCGTGGGTGCCACGTGTGCCTTACGTGTGCCACGTGCCGGGGGGGCCGTGGCACATCCCCGCTCCCCCCGGTACCGCTGTCCCAGCGGCACCGGTGGCACCGGGCGTGGGTGGGGACACGGGGGGCAGTGCCAGCTCGGGGGGCTGGCGGCGGTTCCCACGGCGGCTCCCTCGCCCCCGGCTCCCGGCGCGGCCGCCCGGGCCCGGATGCCAGGGCGGTGAGGTGGAGCTGGGAGCGGCTGCCAGGACCGGTTTGGCCGGACCCGAGGAGGTGTTTGGGCTGAGCCGCCGCCGCCACGCTCGGCTTCCTTCTCTCCTCGGCGCCGGCACGGCTCGGCCCGGCAAAGCTCAGCCTGGCAAAGCTCAGCCCAGCATCTCCCAGAGCCTCAGCGCTGGTGTGGGGCCGCTGGTGAGGGTCGCACGTGGGGGATTCTGGGGGTCTCATACTCAGCATCAGTGTTGTGCTCCAGCCCCCAGCACCCCGATAGGATTGGGGGGGGACAGGGACACCTTTGGCGGCTCAGCCAGACCCCCAGGGCTGGGGTCCTGCTTGTCTGGGCACCAGGAAAACACCCCTGGGTGGGAGCCCACCTGGAGCCTGGCATGGTGTCCTGTGGGGGCCGCCCACACCTGGCCGTGACCCCCAAATGTGGTCATGGCCCCCAAATGTGGTCGTGGCCCCCAAATGTGGTCGTGGCCCCTCAACACACGGTGGCAGACCCCCTCTCTCTCTCCCCCCACAGATAATGCCATGGAGGGGGGGGCTCAGCAGAGCAGCCTCTGGGAGCCCCCCGAGCAGGAGGGGGGTCCTGGTGAGCGGGATGGGAGCGAGGGGCCGCCCGAGCTCAGGCGCTCCCAGCCCCTCTTCATCCACGGCAGCAGGTGGGTGTGAGGCCGGGGGGGGGTCGGGGAGGATGAGGGGGAGGCAGGGGGTGCTCAGGGGGGGTCGCAGGGGGTGTAGAGCTCACCCCCCTCCCCGTGCCTGCAGCCGGCAGCCGCCGCAGGAGGAGCCACGAGCGTCGTCGCTGCCCAGCATCCCCAACCCCTTCCCCGAGCTCTGCAGCCCCTCCAACTCCCCCATCCTGAGCAGCCCGGCCCTGGGACAGGGACCCCCCCGCGAGGGCACCTCCCACGTGAGTCAGGGGCTGGGAAGGGGGGCTGAGGTCTGGGACCCCTGCACGGGCTGGGGAGGGGGCTCATGGGGCAGGGAGCTCCCCGGCGAGGGCAGCCCCAGGTGAGTCAGGGGGCTGGGGAGAGGGGAGGGTCTCCGCGCTGGGGCTGGAACCCCCTCCCATGTGAGGGTCTGGGAAGGGGTCTCAGCCTTTGGAGAGAGACCCCTCTACAGAGGTCCCACCCTCCTGAGGCAGGGAGCCAAGGGGCTGGGGAGGGAACCATGTCCTGCACGAGTCAAGGCTGTGGGAAGGGGGGATCCCATCCCTGGGACAGGAACCACCTCCCAAATGAGTGAAGGGTCTGGGGAGGGGGGAACCCATCCTTGGGCAGGAACCACCTCCCAAATGACTGAAGGGTCGGGGGGGGGGGGGGGAACCCATCCTTGGGGAGGGAACCGCCTCCCAAATGAGTCAAGACTTTGGGAAGGGGAGATTCCATCCCTGGGACAGGAACCACCTACTGCATGAATCAAGGCTCAGGGAAGGGGGGATCCCATCCTTGGGACAGGAACCACCTCCCAAATGAGTGAAGGCTCTGGGAAGGGGGGCTCCCATCCCTGGGACAGGAACCACCTCCCAAATGAGTGAAGGCTCTGGGAAGGGGGCTCCCATCCCTGGGACAGGAACCACCTCCCACACGTGTTGAGGAGCAGGAGGCAGGGTGGGTGCTCTCACCTGTGGCTCTGCAGGGTCCCCTCGTGCCGGGGGGTCCCTGACAGCCCCTGTCCCACCTCCCAGGTGGTGAAGGTGTTCGGCGAGGACGGCGCCTGCCGCTCGCTGGAGGCCTCAGCGGCCACCACGGCGCGGCAGCTCTGCGAGACCCTGGTGCGCAGGACACGGGCACTGCACGACCACAGCTGGGCCCTGGTGGAGCTGCACCAGCACCTGGCCCTGGGTGAGAGGCCGTGGGGACACAGCAGGGCACGGCCCGTGGGACCCCCCACCGCCCTGCTGACCCCCTGTCCCCCCCCCAGAGCGCTGCCTGGAGGACCACGAGTCGGTGGTGGAGGTGCAGAGCTCCTGGGCCCCGGGTGCCGACAGCCGCTTCGTGTTCCGCAAGAACTTCGCCAAGTACGAGCTCTTCAAGAGCAACACGGTAGGTGGGCGCCCTCTGGGACCCCCCCGTGGGCCCCCTGGACACCCCAAGGGTCTCTGCTGAGCCTCTGTCCCCCAGCAGTTGCTGTTCCCCGAGGTGATGGTGTCCAGCTGCCTGGAGGCCAACAAGAGCATGGCGCACTCCGAGCTCATCCAGGTACGGGGCACCATGCCCAGCCGTGCCCCGGGGACCCCGCCGTACCCTGGGGACCCCACCGTGCCCCTCAGCCCTCGTGTCCCCCCAGAATTTCCTCAACTCTGGGAGCTGCCCTGAGGTCCAGGGCTTCCTGCACCTGCGGGAGGCCGGGCGCAAGGTCTGGAAGCGTTTCCACTTCTCCCTGCGCCGCTCGGGGCTCTACTACTCCACCAAGGGCACCTCCAAGGTGAGGCCAGGGGGTCCTGGGGGAAGGGGGCATGGCCAGGGGGTGCAGCGAGGCCAGCCCTGACACCCCCCACCCCCCAGGACCCCCGGCACCTGCAGTACTTCGCCGACCTCACCGAGTCCAACATCTACTACGTGACGCAGGGCAAGAAGCTCTACGGGACGCCCACTGAGTTCGGCTTCTGCATCAAGGTGGGGATGTCCCTGCCTGTGGCAGGGTCATTCCCTGCGCCTCCCCCTGCCAAGGGCTCTCTGTCCCCTCAGAGCCCACCCGGGGCTGCCCCGTGACGGCTCCGGCCTCTCCCGCAGCCCCACAAGGTGCGGAGCGGCGCGAAGGGCCTGAAGCTGCTCTGCAGCGAGGATGAGCAGAGCCGCAGCTGCTGGATGGCCGCGTTCCGGCTCTTCAAGGTGAGCCCCGGCTCCCTGCCGGCTGGGATGATGGCAGAGGGGTGCTGGAGGGAATTTGGAGGGAGGATGGGGGCATTCTGGAGGAATTCTGTGGTGGTGATGTGGCAGAAGGCTCACACGGTGTGCGTCCGTATGCAAGCCTTGAGATGAGAAATGCTGGCTTAGGAATGCCGTGGAATAGAACAGATATTGTTGGGGGAAAAATGGAACTAGGAAAAAAGTTTCAAAAGGTGGCCTTGCAAATAAGACCAGATACTTTGGAGAAATAGAACTACGAAAGATGCATTGTAGTAGGACCCACGAGAGGTAATTTTAGATGATTGGCTTTGAGGCATTTACAGCATGGGATGGCAAAAGCTGATAGGCCAAAAAACGCTTATAGTATATTATAATTAGGAAATAATTGGCTTCTGATTGTGATGGCGTGAATTATAACATCTGTATTGTCTCACCCTTCACATGAGACTGAAAAGAGAATAAAAGTTTTTAAAACACCTCTCAGTTGCCCCATCTCTGGGTCAGAAAAGGGCTTAATCTGACAGTGCTGGAGGGGTGCTGGGGAGATACAAGGGGGGGAATGTGGAGGGGTTCTAGAGGGATGCTGGACGGATGACCCCATGCCAGTGAAAATGTTTCAGGGTGGGTGTCCCTGTGCCCACGTGGAGTGGATGCAGAGGTCCCCACCTCTGCACTGGGGGGCTGTGGAGGTCCCTGGGTGTCCCTGGGTGTCCCTGGGTGCTCCCCCACCCCACAGCAGGGCCCCCCCAGCTGACAGAGCTGTTCCCCCAGTACGGGATGCAGCTCTACCGCAACTACCAGCAAGCCCAGGCACGACTGAGCCAGCCCCCCTGGATCGGCCCCACGCCCCTGGTGAGTGTCCCCTGCCCCCCGCAGCCCCTGGCCCGTGGGGACCCTCTGGTGACCCTCCTGTCCCCCACAGCGAAGCGTCTCGGACAATGCACTGGTGGCCATGGACTTCTCAGGGTGCACGGGCCGGGTGATTGAGAACCCCAATGAGGTGCTGACCGTGGCTCTGGAGGAGGCCCAGGCCTGGAGGGTGAGTGGGGGTGCTGGGGAGCGAGGGGGAGTCCCCCTGAGGCCACCCTAATGTCCCCTCCTTTCTTTGTGTGCCCAGAAGAAGACGACGCACCGGTACAGCCTGCCCGCAGCCTGCCACAGCTCCCCGCTCAGCGCCGGTGAGACGGGGGCTCAGTGCCCACTGGGGGTCCCTGCCTCGGGCAGGGGGTCCCCCCAAGTGTGACACCCCTCTCCCCACAGCCATCCACCGCACCCAGCCCTGGTTCCACGGGCGCATCTCCCGGGAGGACACCCAGCAGCTCATCGGCCGTCAGGGCTTGGTGGACGGGTAAGGGACCCTGGGGTGGGGGGGTCAGGGTCCCTGGGGCTCTGGGAGGGGGACATGGAACTCCAGGGAGGCTCAGGAGCACAAGGGTTACAGGGTCTTGCAGCTCCTGGGGGGATAGAGGACATGTGTGGGGGTGAGTGATCCCAGGTTGTTGCAGGGTTTGGGGGACACACAGGCTCCTGGGGGGACACAGAGACTCCCAGGGATGCCAGGGGGTACTGGGCTACTCCCAGCTCTTCAGAGGGTGTTTGTGGGTGACACTGGGAGGGCAGAGAGGACCTGGGGCCAGCAGTGACACCGCCGGGGCTCGCAGGGTCTTCCTGGTGCGGGAGAGCCAGCGGAACCCCAAGGGCTTCGTGCTGTCCCTGTGCCACCTGCAGCGCATCAAACACTACCTCATCCTGCCGGTGAGTGCCAGCCTGGGGCTGGGGGGGGCCGGGGGAGGGCTGGGGAGAGGGGTCCTGACCTGCAGCCCCCCGGCAGAGCGAGGAGGAGGGTCGGCTCTACTTCACCATGGACGACGGGCAGACGCGCTTCGCCGACCTCATCCAGCTGGTGGAGTTCCACCAGATCAACCGCGGCATCCTGCCCTGCAAGCTGCGGCACTACTGCACCTGCGTGGCCCTCTGAGCCACTGGCAGGGCTTGGCACAGCCTGGCACCACCAGCACGGCAGGATTTGGCTCAGTCTGGCACTGCCAGCGTGGTTTGGCGCAGTCTGGCACTGCTGGCGTTCTTTGGCTCAGTCTCACGGCTTGAGACAGCCCAGCAGCACCGGCATGGCATGGCTTGGCACAGCCTGGCACCACTGGGATGGTTTGGCACAGACTGGCCCTGCTGATACATCTTGGCGCAGCCCAGCACCACCAGCGTAGTTTGGCACAGCTGGGCACCACTGACGTGGCACAGCTCAGCACAGCCTGGCACTGCTGGCACAGCTTGGCACCAGTGGGATGGTTTGGCACAGCCCAGCACCACCAGCATGGCACAGTTTGGCACAGTCTGGCACAGTGGGGTGGTTTGGCACAGCCTGGCACTGCCAGTATGGCACAGCTTGGCACAGCCCAGCACCACCAGGATGATTTGGCACAGCCTGGCACCGCCAGCATGGCACAGCTCGGCACAGCCCACTGCCAGGACCCCCACACTCAAGCACTTTCTCCCCTCTGCCCTGCAGCACCAGCCCCGAGTGCCCCTGCAGGGGCCTGGCACTCCTTGACCCCACACCAGGGGGGTTTTGGGGTCCCCAGGAGCGGGGTCCCGGGGTGTGGGGGTGAGGGGGGCACCCATCACCGTGTCCCCCACGTCTCCACGAGGCCAGTTGAACTGGGACGTGTTTTATACCAGTGATAATAAAGGTTATTTTTGCAGAGGTCCTGCCTCCTTCCTTCCCATCCCCAGTGCCACACGGCTGGCAGCGTCCCCATCTCCCACAGCGTCCCCATGCCTGGCAGTGTCCCCACGTCCCTCGTGTCCCCACAGTGCCCCGGGTCCCACACAAAGGCCCCTCTGTGCTCCCCGGGCACCACGTGCGGCTCAGCCACGTGGCCGCCGCAAATCCCCGGGAGAGGGGGATTATCCAGGGGGGATTAAGGGCCCGGATTTGGGGGGGCTGGGGCTGGGGCAGCTGCTATAAAGGCGGGGGGCTGAGGGGAGAGGCCGTGCCATGGCTCCCAAGACGGTGCTGATCACCGGCTGCTCCTCGGGCATCGGGCTGGCGCTGGCCGTGCGCCTGGCGAGGGACAAGCAGCGCCGCTTCCGAGGTGAGCGGGGCGCAGGGACCCCCCCAGCCCCCGGGGAGAGCCCGCGGGGGCTGAGCCGGCTGTGCCCGCAGTCATCGCCACCATGAGGAACACGGGCAGGAGCGGGGCGCTGGCGGCGGCGGCGGGGCCGGCGCTGGGCCGGACGCTGGAGATCAAACAGCTGGATGTGTGCGACGAGGGCTCCATCCGCGCCTGCCTCGACAGCATCCCCGGGCGCCACATCGATATCCTGGGTGAGACACGGGATTTGTGTCCCAGCGTGACCCCGGTGAGGGGACCCTCCATGGTGGGGATCCCTGTATTGGGGGGTCCCAGTGCCGGGGATCATTTGTGCTCCCAGTGCTGGGACCCTCCGTGCCTCATGACCCTGACCCCACACAGCGGGGACTGTCCCGTGCCAGGGATCCCCTGCACCAGGACACCATTCCCTGTACCAGGGACCCTCCAAACTCAGCACATCCCATTCTGGGGACCCTCCAAGCACTGGGGACCCCCTGTGCCAGGGGTCCCTCATGCACTAGGGACCCCCTGACCCCACACAAAAGTGACTGTCTATGCCAGGGTCACCCTGCACCAGGGACCCTCCACACCCAGGACATCCCATGCTGGGCACACTCGGGGAACCAAGGACCCCCATGCCCAGGGTGAGGGATCCCCCTGCCCAGGGCACACCCCACTGACGCCCCCTGCCCACAGTCAGCAATGCCGGGGTGGGCATGGCGGGACCCCTGGAGTGCCAGAGCCTGGCAGCCATGCAGAGCCTCATGGACACCAACTTCTTCGGCCTCGTGCGCCTGGTCAAGGAGGTGCTGCCCGACATGAAGCGGCGCCGCGGGGGCCACATCGTCGTCATCAGCAGCATCATGGGCCTGCAGGGTAGGGGAAAATGGGGTGCCCTGGGGGGACCAGCCCCCACCCAGCCCTGACTGGAGCTCCCCAACCATCCAGGCATCGTCTTCAATGACATCTACTCGGCCTCCAAGTTCGCGGTGGAAGGTTTCTGCGAGAGCCTGGTGGTGCAGGCGCTGCGCTTCAACGTGGCGTGAGTGTGGGGCAGGTGGCCGTGCAGCCCCTGGGGCCGGGGGTCCGGGGGTGCCCAGTACCCAGTGCCCCATCCCTGGGCAGGATCAGCCTGGTGGAGCCGGGGCCGGTGATGACGGAATTCGAGACGAAGTTGTACGAGGAAGCCGAACGTGCTGACTACTCACGGACCGACCCCGAGACGGCCGAAATCTTCACCAAGCTCTACCTGAGGAACTCCAGGGATGTCTTCACCAGCCTGGGCCAGACCCCCGAGGACATTGCAGAGGTGACAGGCGGGCAGGGGGTCCCAATGGGCTGGGGGTGCCCTGCTGGGCTGGGCTGGGCTGGGCTGGACAGAGGTGTCAATTTGTCCTAACAAGGAACAGCAATGCCCAGCCAGCAGTGGGGCAGCTGACACCCAGACAGCTCCATCCTGATGGGGCTGAACCTGGATGGGAATGGGAATAGGAAAGGTGATGGGATGGGAATAAAATGGGAAGGAACTGAGGATGGAGATGGGCGGAAATGGAATGGGAATGCGAAGGGATGGAGATAGAGGTAGTATGGGATGGGGATGGGGTGGAATAGGATAAAGATAGGGATGGAGTGGGAAGGAGTTGGGGTTGGGATAGGAATGGTGATGGGATGAAGTGGGATGGATTAGAGATAGGATGGGAAGTGCTTGAGGATGGGAATATGAAGTGAATGAGAAGGAGATGGGATGGCAATGGGAATAGGAGAATGGGAAGAGAGGGGAAAAATGAATGAGGATGGAGGTGCAGATGGGATCCAGACAGGGTTCAAAGGGGATAGGGGTGGGATGGGGTGGGGCTGTGGGGACAGGAAGGGGACAGGAAGGGGACAAGGTGCGTTCAACGTGCAGCACACCCTGCGGGTGATCGAGGCTCCCCGGCCGCCGTTCCGGCACCAGACCAACGTGGCGTACACGCCGATGGCCGCCCTCAAACACGCCGACCCCAGCGGCGCCCTCATCACCGACGCCTTCTACCAGCTGGTGTTCAAGTACGGCGCCGTGCTGCGCTTCGGCCTCCGCGCCATCCGCCTGCTCCGCTGGAAGTCACAGAAGGTCAAGGCGGGCACGCGGCTCCTGGGCTTCAAATAAACCCTTGTGGCTCCTGGGCACTGCCCAGCCCATCCCGGGGATGGGGGCAAGGTGGCCGGAACCCGTGCAGGGTTTCACTTCCCGTTCCCGGCCTGAAATAGCTCCCGCCGCCGCCGCATTAAAATGGGGAGGGTATTTATAACCAGGGCAGGGTGAGCAACAAAGAGCAGCTTCCTCCAGGAGTGCAGCGGCCGTGACGGGGCTGGGAAGGGCTGGCAGCTGCCCCCTGCCTGCCTCCTGCTCCCCAGGGGCACCTGTGCCTCTGACCTGCGGGTGTGTGGCACCCAGGGGACCTCACCCCATCACCCCATGGTGCTGCATCCTCCTTCCTCCAGGCACTGCTGTGGGGTCGGGAATGTCCTGTGGTGGGTGTCACCCCTGTGTGGCACAGAGCCCTGGGGCACTGAGGCAGCACAGGGGGTGCAGGAGGTGTTGGGAGGGCAGAGTGAGAGGGGTGTATGATGTGTTCAGAGAGGCACGGGGGCATTTGCAGTGCAGGGTCTGGTGCAGAGTGGGGGTGGGATGTATGACAAAGACTGGGTGCAGGGCGGGTGCAGGGGTGCCCAGCAGTTCACGCTGCCCCAGGGGCTCCCCCGCTCCAGCTCCCAGTGGGTGACAGTGGGGTGGGTTCACCCTGGGCGCTGGCGTGTGGGCGCTTGGCGTGACAGCACCGGGAGGTGAGAGCAGGGGGAAACCACAGGAGGCCCGGCATGAATCAGCCCCGCTGCTCAGAAACCTTCCTGGCTCCCTCCACACTCCCTGAGCCCCCGGAGCTCGGGAGGGACCCCCAGCCTCAGGTGAGAGGGCTGGATGGCAGCGGCTGCAGCTCCGTGTGCCTCGCACGTGGCCTCTCCGAGCCCCGCCGGCTCCAGGGACCGTGGGGACAGGATGGAGGTGGGGAAGGAAATATTTTTGCATTATCCCCCCTTCTCGCACGAGTTAATGGCAAAGCGGTGGTGGGACCGTGGCCCCGGGGTGGTGGCAGCACCTGTGGGACGTGCAGGGGTGACATCAAAGCGGTGACAGTGTCGCTGCCTCCCCCCTCTGCGGTTTCTGCAGATTTGACTAACTTTCTCCGCTTGGGGGGCAGGATGGGGGGGAAGGTAGGCGTGACTCTGCCCGGCCCCGGGGAGCAACAAGGGGGGCCCCGGCACAAAGCCACAGCTGTGGGAAACGGAGCTGAGGAAGGACAGGACCCCCTCACACACCCCCAGCCCCACGGTGTCCCCAGTGCCCAGGGGAGCAGCAAAGGGGCTGGAACTGGGGGAACTGGGGGGAGCAGGATGAGCCCCAGCCCCGCTCCCAGCCTTGCTCACGGCAGTCCCGGGCAGAGAGAGGGGGGACAGGGAGCTGCTGTGGGTGAGGGCATCCCCAAGAGGTAGGGGGCACCTGGGTTGTGTTTGAGGCTGAGGAGCGTCACCTCCCACCTGGAGCATCCTCGGTGGCCGTGGAGCACCACTTGGAGCCCAGGGCTGTCACCCCCATCGCCGCAGCCCCGCGGGTGCCGGGGTGGAGGCGCTGCCGCAGGGGCCGGAGCCGTGCGGGTTGGAAGTAAATTCTTCTAAAAACAATCGTCTGCTGGGACTTTCCTGTCGCCAGCGTGTGACAATTGCCAGCCGCTCCCCGTGTCCTCGATCCCCCGAGGATTTCGCTGCCAGGTGCCGACTCGCTGCCATGCAAATGTGGCGCCAGATATAACTGGCTGGAGGGGCTGGAGGGGCCGGTTCGGCGGCTCCCCGGGGGCTTCACTTCCCTCCCGGCTCAGCGAGGGGGGCATCAGGCGTGACACAAAGCTGCTGCCCCCGTGGTGGTGCCCCGGTGACAGTCACGGCCCTGTCCCCAGCACAGCACCGTGTCCCGGTGGGAGCCGCGGGGCTGCGGAGCTCCCCCGTGGCGATGCCAGAGCTGGGGGCACTTCCAATGCCCCTTCCCGCTGTCGCTCAGCACAGAGCCGGCTCTGCTCACCCCTTGCCCCCCGAATTTGGGAACCCGACCCACGCGGAGGGTGGGAAAACGCCGCCGGGTCCCCGCCGGGCCGGCGCGGGGAGCGTGAGTCAGGGCAGGGCTGGGGAATTGGGCCACCGAGGGGGTGGTGGCAGTGACTCAATCCTCCCCGTCCCCTCCCGGCACCGTCGGGTTTTGGGTGCTGGACCGCTCCCCGCGGCAGCAGGAGCCGGCCGGGATGCTCCAAGGATGCAGACCAGCAGCCGGAAGTTTTATGGGATTTTTTTTTTGGTGCGTTAAGGAAGCGTGTTTCAACACGACACGACAGGAGAAACGAGTTCCTCTGTGCTCTATCACGATTACAGCTATCAGCAGATAAGGATCTCTCTGTCACAACACCAACTGAAGGTTTCTGTAAGCCTTTAGAGGGGTTTGGCTCCAGGCAGGAGAAAGCTGAGGGGTTTTGGATCGAACCAATTCTTATTAAGACAAACCAGGGTGGGAAGAGCCGCTGTCCGCAGCCCCGAGCCCCCTCTGTCTCACCCAACCCTCGGAGTGTCCCGGCAGCAGCAGGGGGAGAGACCCCTCAGTGTTTGGTGGCACCCGGGCTGGAAGGAAGTGAAGGGAAAAGAAAAAAAAAAAAAGGATCCTCTGACTTTCTTCTCGGGTTTTTTTTTCGTTTCTGTTTCTCAAGCGTGTCCAGCTCTTGTGTCAGGAGGTGTCAGGGCGGAATGAACGAAGCGCGAACAACGTCAGCCTGGTGAGGCAGGTGCTAAAAGGGCCGGGGGGTCGGTGTGAGCCTCCACCCTCCGCAGCCGGGATGTTTCCATCTGCCTGACACAGCCCTGGGAACCACGAACCCACCCCGCAGCCCAGGAGTGGGGCTGAGCTGCCCCCACCCCAAGCTCTCAGGTTAAACCGTTCCTCAATTCACCAAAACCGTGTCCTCCACCATTTTCCAGCAGTCAGAGGAGAAGATGATGTTATTTTACACCTCTGACTGTATCAGTCACTCTACTGAGTAACAGGTTCTGCTGAGCACAGCCTCCACCACGGCTCAGCACCCCGTGGGGACACAGATTCCATCACACCTGGGGGGTTTACATCTCCCAGCATGTAAAATGAGCCCCAGCACTCATTCTCACTCCTCAGGTCTGTTTTCATGGCTGACAGAGTGGACATTTATATACCGACATTTTTAAAACTTAAAAAATCCTTTAAGCACCAGAGGTTCATTTCTTGGTGCTAAAAGTTCCTTGCCTGAGCCTCCCCTGCCCACTCTTGGGGTGTAATTCATCAGTAAATGAAGAACCAAGCAAGATGGACGCACCAAGGCACTGGAGAATGCTCCAAACCTGTTCCAGACCAAAATAACCAAGCCAGGAGCAGAATAAATCAGGCTCTGAACCAGGACCAATGTTTTTCCCATCTGTTTTCCCAGACAAGTTGGTTTCCAGAGCTCTTCCAAGCTCAGAGAGTTGTCCTGGACCAACACAGCCCCTCAGCATCCAGACATGGCCCAGTGGGATTCCCATCTCCCAAGCCAGGGCAGCACTGTGGGACAGGGCTGAATGATGGGACAATTCAAGTGTATTCTTAAATGAATCCATTACCCAATCCACTTATGGAGAATAAGATTTTTGGATGGCTCCAGGAGGTCTCTGTGGATTCCTTTAAGAACCTGCCTTTGCCTGCCCTCAAGTCAGGACATCGTCATTATTTAAATATTTTATTCATTTATTGACAATTCTTTGGTCTTGAAAATGAAGCCATTGAAAAGCAAGCTTGTCACAAAATTAGAAATTGATAAAGACAACAACAATGTCCTAAAAATGTCGGACTTAGAAATGTCAGGGCAGCAGAGGAACCTTCTCTTTGTTCTCTGGGAATTCTCTCACTCCCTTTCCCTCTCTTTTCTGGACCCAAAAGCTTGGCCCTTGGGGCTGATCCTTGGTGGAGCTGCAGCCTCCATCACAGGAGGAGCATTGGTCACATTGTGACACAGGTGTTCATTTGGGGAGAACCAACATGCGCCTTTCTCATGATGGAGCTCTGGGAAACATCCTAAACCTGCTTTGCAGCTCCACACATAAGAGCAGAAGAGTTCTCCTCAACCCCAGGGACAGCAGGATCCTGGATTAGCACTTCCAGAGCAATCTGGATACTGAGACACACTGCAGGGTGATTTATCCCTCTCCAAATCCACCTTTAGTGGAAAACATGAATATAAATTTCTTATTTTGTGCCTTAAAATTCAGGGAGGAAATAACTGAGCCGAAAGAACTCAGAGGGAGGGATGAATTTCAGTATTTCTTGACCCTTGGTTCTACAGCCTTCCCTCAGGGAAGTGATTGGATCACCAGGGATAACACAAAAGCAACACAGCTCTCAAACCACACAAGGGATGCAGAAAGTCCATCAGAACACTCCTAACTACAGGATACAAAAATATTTTGCAAAGATTAAACCTTCACTCAGCAAAGCCGTTACCAATCCCCTCTCCAGCACAGGGACACCAACACAGCTGTGGGGCCACGGGGAGAGTCAAAAAGCTGTTGTAAAAACCAACTTCAAAGGGGTGGCAGCTGCTCAGGGTGTGGAGCAGCACCTCCCGAGGGCTGTCCTGGTGTGGGTGTGGCTCTCACAGCCCTGCCTGGGGTCTCACCTGTCCACAGCCAGCCAGGGCCACCCTGTGGGGACACAGATGGCACGGCCACACGTCTGCTGTGGGACAGAGGCACAACACACAGCACAGCTTCATCTCGGCAGCCATCAGAAAGGAGGAGTTTCCAGCAATGAAAATCGGGATTTCCTCCAGGCCACACGGATGAGCCATCCAGTGACCTCACTGGGTATCCCAAAAATATGTACTGTTAAAAAATCCCCAAATAGGTCTCATTTCTTATTTTTCTCTTACTGAGTAACTTTAAAGAAAGTCAACAGTGGGGTAAGAAAAATGAAAGTGTGCCACACTCTTGTTAGGGCTTAGGGGAAAAGCTTTAAAGAGGAATTTATAATCCCTCCCTTTTCCTGCCCTCTTTTCCTTGTTTTGGTGA